TTCATTTTTTTTTTGCTTTCCTTTTTTTCTGGGACAATTTTATGATGGTTTGAAATAAGTGTATTATTATTAAGTTGCAGAGAAAGGGAGATAGAGGTTAAAAAAATCTTTGGACTTATGGGATAGGAAGGACAGGAAATGATGTCTATTTACTTTAATTAAAGTTGTGTGTGTGTGTGTGTAAAAGTTTGTTTTGTTAATCTTCCCCTTTATGGAGCCATGTATAGGCCTTTCATGTGGAAGGTAAAAAGAGCAATGGCCATACCATGGACACAAGGACAGGCCTTGTTGAACGTTTACTTTGAAATTGCCTCTGACGGCCTTATTTAAATTGTGACAAATTTTTCAAGGCGCTGTTAATCGTAAAATGCTCATGAACTTGTTTGTGAAATGAATTTGTAAAAATTTATTTTGTTGTTGTAAACACAAAATTGTATGTGGTCAGGGGACTCTCTGGTGTAGTTTGCTTCTTCCTTCCTATCAAACATCTATCAATCTTATCTCTCCTCCTTTTCTTTTGTGTTTGTTACTCTCTTGTAAGTGGGTGGTTGGCGGGTGCTCTGGTGTGGTTTGCTTCTTCTTTCCTATGAAACATCTATCGTCCTTATCTCCCCTTCTTCTTTTTTATGTTTGTTACTCTCTTGTGACACCTCTATTTTTCTGGCGCTCATATGACCTTATGCAGTTACTAAAACTAAAACTCTCTTGTAACACTTCTCATTTTCAGAACTTCTATGACCTAATTTTATTGCAAGTGCCAGAAACACTAAAACAAAACAGAATATTGTTGCTCTGTAGCTGTAATTGGGAAGCCCTCATTGACGCATGCATCGTTGTTTGTGTTTGTTCTCTGCAGCTTTGGGTCAGGTCATGCTCTATGTGGACGGGATGGAGGGAGTCATTCGTCACAACGCCACTGTACAGTGGCTCTACTCCCTGCTGGCTTCAAAGGTAAACACCTTCATAGACACATTTGCAGACACTCTCAGAAACACTTTCACAAACATTTCAACTCAGTATAGACCTACATTGTATTCTCCTCACAAACACTTTTTAGGCATATTATCGTGATACAGGATTACTTTCTGCTGCTGTCCTGATCAGTTAATCCTCTCGTAAATGTTTTTGTGTTTTGGCCAAATTACCAGTGCTCTCTCTATTGTTTTCTCCTTTATCAATATTACTTTATGGTGAATGGTGTGTATTATCTATAAGTTTGTGAGACGATTGTTCTTAAAGTCTTTGCTGTAGTAGTGAGGTTTAAAAAAAATTATTCTGACATGGAGGCCTTTCACAAATGCTTTGTTTATGCAGTTATTGAAGAAGCTTCCTTTTAAGCCATATCTTGGAACTGCGAGGTTGTGAATATGAGAAGTCCAGTTCATTGGTTCACTTTTGTTGTTGTTGTCAGTAGATGTGGTACTTTTGTTGTTGTTTTTGTGGGATTGTTTAATCTTATTTCTGATTTTTCTTGTTGTTGTTGCCTTTGATTCAGGTAGTTTTCTGGATTCAGTGGCAGGTTCCTCTACCTTTTTTTCCCCTTCCTTTTCATCAAGTCTGTTTTGGATTTTCACAGCAATTAATGACCAGTATCATGTTGATGTGCTGCTATTTATTCAGACTCAGAGTAGATGGTAGGCAGTTTTTCTGGTGCAGTTCGCTCTTTCTTTCCTATCAGACATCAGTCGTCCTTATTTTCCCCCCGTCTTTTCTTTGTAAGACTTTGTAACACCTCTAATCTTCGACGGTGTGTGGTGGGCGGATGCTCTGGTGTGGCTTTCTTCTTCTTTCCTGTCAAACATCTATCATCCTTATCTCCCCTTTTTCTTTTTTGTGTTTGTTACTGTCTTGTAACACCTTTAGTCTTCTGCACTTAAATGACCTTATTAGGTTGCAAGTGCCGTAAAACACCGACTAAAAACTAATCTTTGACACTTAAATGACCGTTTGTGTTGCAAGTGGTGTAAAACTCTTACTGTTACTAACCCGAACTGAAATCCACGTGTCCACTATGTAGGGTCGCCTGGTGGTCAAGACGGCCCTCAAGCTCCTGCTGGTCTTTGTGGAGTACACGGAGGCCAACACCGGACAGCTGGTCAAGGCCATCACCTCGGTAGACAGCAGACGTGGGTTGCACCCCTGGACTAACATCATGGCCATCCTGGGAGAGAAGGAGGGCGCGGACTCGGAGCTACTGGTCTATACCATGACGCTGGTGAACAAGGTGAGTGCCGCACACACTGCTCGCTCTAATCATCGTGCCCAGTGGCACTAGTAAACAAGAGGAAGAAGGTGTACACTAAACACTTTATACTCTACTTCTCATGCCCAATTACACAAGTGAACTAGTAGGTGGTTGGCAGGTGCTCTGGTGTGGTTTGCTCCTTCTTTCCTATCAAACATCTCTCTTCCTTATCTACCCTCCTTCTATTTTGTTTTTGTTACTCTCTTGTAACACCTCTAATCTTTGGCTCTTATATGATGTTATTGTGTTGCAAGTGCCATAGTACTCTTACGAAAACAAACTAAAACACTTCACTCTCTAATTCTCATGCCCAATAACACTAGTAAACCAGATGAAAAGGTACTCACTACACACTGTGCATTCTTTACACTTGTGCACCATGACACTAGTGAATGAGATGTACGAGATGCCCATGACAAGGACACATTTATTTCCTGACCAAAATGGGTAACATGTACATTCAATCATTCCATGTGAATGAGCAAGGGAAACAAAATATGATAATTGCTATTTTTGTTATATAATGAGAAGTGATGCTGGGTGGTTGGCAGGTGCTCTGGTGTGGTTTGCTCCTTCTTTCCTGTAAAAAATCTATCGTCTTTTATCTCCCCTCCTTCTTTTTTGTGTTTGTTACTCTCTTTTTACACATCTAATCTTCGGCACTTATATGACCTTATTGTGTTGCAAGTGCTGTAAAACTCTTACAAAAATTAAAACGAGAACTGATGAAATGCTAGTGTTGACATCCTTTGTATTGTGCTGCCCCCGCCTCCAGGTGTTGAGCGCCATCCCAGACCAGGACATGTTTTACGATGTGACGGACGCTCTGGAGGAACTGGGCATGGACGCGGTCACCCAGAGGCACATGAACAAGCAGGGGGCTGACCTTGACCTCATCACCCAGTTCCAGGTCTATGAAGTGAGTGCCGATCATGGCTCTAGGGCAGAGCTACTGTCACAGATATTGTACAGTCTAGCATGAATATAGTGAAATCTGCAGGATATAGAAATCTTTTTGTTATGTACAAATTATGCTATGTACTTGTTTTTAATTCAAAGAATATACTCAGAAGAAATATTTTTTGGACCTGAAAATCTGCTATGCATATGTTCACTATGTATGTGCTATACTGTACTTGTGTTATACCCCTCTTTCAACACAATTTAGATCATCTAGAAGGGGGAAAGGCTGTTGTGGGAGCCAACTGGGCGGGTGGAATAAAGTTTCCTTCAGGAAGACGATGATATGCGATAAGAAAAACTTGCTCGCTTGGGTATTGAACTCACATAATGTGAATCTGTTTGCAATGGCAAAGTGCCTGACCACTTCACCACAAATGTTGGTGTCCACTTTGATACATGATGTAGTCATTATTACAAGCTGATCAAAGAGCTTATAGAGTACATGCGAAACAGCTACAGTAGGTCTGTAAGGTGAAGCTGTGAAGGGAAGTCTGAAAATGAGGAAAGTTCAGTGGTAAGGTAGATAGATAGATAGCAACATGATAGAATGATATTTAGAAGTTCAGTTAATACTGTCTAGAGGGCCACCCATTGTCGTGAAGAACAGAGGCCATCTTGCACAGTGTCGTAATAATGTAAAAGATACTCAATGGAGGAAATGGTGATTGACTTATATATAGGTAGCTGTTAGAGCAGGTTCTACTGTAGTTGCAATGTTTTAAGGATTGATTTACTCATTGTATCTATCTTGGTTTTAATATTTTCAGCTTCTTAATAGTATAAATTTGTAGTCATGACAAAAATGACTTTCTGGCCTCAGAGAGGAATTCTACTGCTTATGAGATAAAACTGTTGTGATAAAAATTTGTCTCACTTTTCTTTTGACAGTCTGTGTATGATTGCGCAATTTGAAATAATACTGTGATGTGTTTTTTCTTTGTCAGGGTTCCTTGAAACACGAGGATGGTGAGGACTTTTCAGCTATACCCCAGGCAGAGAATCTCAGGTAGAGTCTTAGCTCTTTATTATTTTTCATAGTGCTTCAAAATGAGACTTGTCAAAGCCATCATTATGATGGTCTTAATTTAATTGAGGAGACTATCTTTATTAGTTCAGATATGAAAAGTAGTTTAAGGGTGCCCCTGGTAGTTCCTCTTTCTTTTCTCTTCATTTGTTACATAGAAATATACCCTTTTTTGCATTTTCCCTGCTCTAAATGGCTATTATCATGTGGATTTGCTTCTCTTTATTCCAACTTAGAAAACTATTTAAAAAATGTTTGTCTTTGGGTTTTTGATGAAAAAGAATTGGGTTCACATTCTAGCCTTTCTACATGTGCTGAAGTACTGTATCTCTCATGAAAAAAAGCGCTACTTTCTGTATTAAAATTTGAAGACCTTGTTGTAAAATTAATGAGTTTAATATAAGCCAGACAGTGACAATTCTCCCACACCCCCATCCCCGTTGCTGTCTTCCCTCTTGTAGACGTGTGCCACGCATGAAGAGCGAAGGTCAGGTGCGCAAGTCCAAGCGCCATGAAGGTGGCAATGACCGCAAGGTGAACAAAGCCCCGCCTCCTGCCGCGCAGCCAGCTGCCGCGACCCCAGAGACACCAGCAGAGGCCTTCAGACGCAGGAGACAACAACAGAAAGAGTGAGGAGACACGCAGATGTTATTTATGCTGTGCTTTGTTTCTTGTTCTGTGCGTTGTGATGTGACTTGTTTTGTGCTGTCTGTTGTTTCATTTTCCATATTAAGATGTGTGTTGTCTTATGTTGAATGTTGTTAGCTGTTGTACGTTGTGCTATTGTGTTCGTTGTTGCGTGTTCTTTTTCATGAACTACTCTTTTCCTCTTCAGTTCTCTTTGTCTCTAGCTGTTTTATGTGTCTGTCTGTCTCACACCCCCAGTGGGTCGGGGGGATATAAATAGACCCACTGCTTCGTCTGCAGAAGGTGCAACCCCTTCAAAGGCGAGGTGTCGCACTCGGACCCCAACCCTCTGG